GGCGCACATCAAAAATTCAGTAGAAGATGTTGTTTTGATACCCAAAAATCCTCAACTCGATCATCTCGACCTTAAGATATATGGACATGAGAAAAATGGATTCGAAGTCTTAAAAATTGTGCATCTTGTAATACTTTTTTTGGACCATAAAATTTCAAGATTTTCATCTGTTCATATATCTACTTGATGTACATTATTTTTTAAGATTTAAATTTTATAACTAGAGATGAAAATAAATTTCCAAGATTAGATATGGAAATAAATTTTCAAGATATCATAAAGATTTCTAGTACTTAAACAATATCTTTCGACATTATTTGTGGGTGTACGTTACCTCGATTGTTTAGGGCCTAGGCCCTATATGAGCCACACCCAATAAATAAATCAAGAGTCAAATGCATGGAGTTAAGGAAGGGATAATCTATTGAGAGCGAAATGGAAATTAGCATATTTAGATAAGTCTCAATAGTCTAGCAAAAATATTTTACACTATAATAATGGGGCTATGTGCTGGAACAGCCAAGGTATGCAAAAAGCTGCTGGAAAGTTTTGTTGGAAACAATCACCTTAAAAAAAATTTTGTTGGAAACCAAGTAAAAATGAAAAACTCATGTTTTTCTTTTCTTAAAAAATAAACTATCCTATAACTTAGGCCATGCAACATGAACATGTTGTCCCCCTCTCGGAGGAAACATCAGTTTTTTGATTAACTTTTTGCCGGCAAAATGGTCATAGTTTTAAGGGTGTTAGGTGAAGCATTGTCTCTAGAACCCAGAGGAAAATCTAGTTTCAGAGGCAAATTTCTGAAACCCCATTGGAAAATCTAGTTTTAAAGGCAAAAAGCGTTATAATTGCTTTTAAATCTATTTTCTATCTGATTATAGAATTTGAAGCTCTAAAAATAGTGCAGATATAGTAGTTCTGTGAGTAGCATAAATAGAGAGCCCAAAAAAATGTGTTATAAGACAAATCGCTTTTAAGGCCGATATTTATTATTTTTTTATATTCATAATTTTTGAAGTCTAGATAATTGATATGTAAGTTATCAAATATGAGAACAATATTTTCTAGGTCAAGGGGTTAGCAAAATACTTGAACATGTTTAAAAACATCAAGGGCATCGCCATGAGGTTCTTGGTGTATCAGAGGTTAAAATATAAGAGGGTTAAATATTTGAGGGTGTTGAGAGTTCCAATGTAAGTAGATTGGCAATTGGAAAACGAGAGCGGACATGAACGAGTCTTTGAAAAACTCGATGGGTGTTCTTCCCAAGAATGCTAACCTGTACTTTAATCGCAAACCTTGTCCTTTCCGTCGGCCATCGAAGTAATTTTTAAGCCAAAGCAAGCTTTTAAAAGAAAATTCTCTCCCTAAATTGTTTTTAGGGGTTGCAACGGGTGAGGTCGGATCCGGGCTGGACCCCGGATACGAAAAATGACATGGGACCCAATTTGGGACTCAAATAGTATTTGGGTCTAAGATTTGGACTTGGACCTAACCCACAGATCCCATTTTTTGACCCATACATAGACCGGGATCGAGTCTACCCCTTGGGTGTCAGATTGGGTCTGGTTCCATTGCCACCCCTAATTGTTTTGTTAGCTACTTTTTTCCAATTTTTAGGAACTTTAAATCAACTTTAAGAGGAATCGCATGGGATTTGTTGCCTTATTAGTCATTTGTCATTCATTCTCTTCTTTTTGTCCTTTTTGCTTTTTTTGCTTATATAGGATTGTATATTATAAGATTATTTATTTTAGGTACAAAAAAGTCACAATTAACTATTGGATGTAAAACCGCTATTGGATGTAAAACCGCTAGATGAAATATGCAACAAAAATTTTGTTTTAAATTTTTTACGCAATCAATAATACATTCTTAACCACTTGATTTCATATCTAACAGTCAATAATGATTATGACCTCCTCATATTACAAATAAATCACTTATCATATATATTTCTATATTATCCTTGTCTTTCTCTCACCCTCTCTTGCTCCCTGTCGCTCTCTCTCTTCTTTGGAGAAGTAAGTAATTCTGTCTCTTATTTTTGGGAAAAATAAGTAATTCTCTATCTCTTTTTTCTTGAAAAAATAAGTGGTTCTCGCTTGTTTATGTCTTTCTCTCTCCTTTGTTTTGGAAAAATAACCGGCTTCTCTCTCTGCCCGTTTTTTGGATAAATAATTTTATCTCTCTTGTTCTTTTTTCTATTCTATGTGAATAAGTACTTGGAGTAGGTTGGCATTTGTCACAAACAACTTAGGTTTTTGTTTTCTTTTTTCTGGCGTAAATTAATGGTAGAGAAAGCCCCGTACCCGTTTTTCATTAATAGAAGATAGAAAAATTACAACACACTATTTTAGAACCCTATAATAGAACAAACAACTAAGATTAACACTGCCTATGGTAATTTCTTTATTTTTTTTTTCTATGTCGAAAAGTTGGGCTATGATGTATGAACCAAGAGGCATTTGTTTTGAGATAAGACAAAATTCAAATAATTCACAAGAGTAGCGGCCATTTCTTTAGGTCAAATTGAACCTAAAAATGGCTCATGAAGAAACAAACTTTACACATATACACCAATTGTCACTCAAAAAGCAAGGATTCGAACACTAGATGCGAGTGTGTTGGTCCTTTTACACCTTAAGAACCAAACGCTAGAAGTCGCCTTCGTGAGGTACCACTTTTTGTGCTATTTCTAAATATAACTAACCCTAACTCACTTGACCTAAGAAAATGGCTAATAAAGAAACAGAAGTTATGGACAAATGCATGTGCTTTTTATTTTCTTGTCAAGATATAGTACTTCCCTCTTTTCAATTGGTACTCTCTAGTTTCATAAAAGGGTGAGGTTTGTATAAGACTCTTCTAGAAGTTATGGACAAATGCATGTGCTTTTTATTTTCTTGTCAAGATATAGTACTTCCCTCTTTTCAATTGGTACTCTCTAGTTTCATAAAAGGGTGAGGTTTGTATAAGACTCTTCTTATACTGTAGAAGGATGGCACTTCTAAAATTTGTTTGGAGATATAGTTTCAATGTCGAAAACCTTATGATAGGTTTAAAATATAGTTTTATCTTTTGTTATAGAGCTTAAAATTTTGAAAGTGGTACAGATCGAGCTGATCTATGAACGATTGAAAATCTTTAAAATAGACAGGTTAGATAAGTTATTACAAGATGTACTGTTTTTATGACTTGAGTTCTTCTTTTCTTTCGTATGCATAGATGTTATGGTTGAGATGATCAATTAGGGTTCTCCAAAGTCAGATCACTCTCTTCTAGATGATTTTTGAGGTGTACCTTTCGAATATTATAAGATTGCAATATTATGTAAACTTATTCCATCATAAAATTCAGATCAATAAATTGGAAATGATGGTTTGGAAACTTATTTCATATTGCCACTGCCCTTGCCCACGAATAGCGAAGCTGACCAAAGATTCTTGTTCTTATTCATTAACGGGTGGGGAAAGGAGAAAAAGATCATTATTTAATAAGTGGCTTTCCAAACAGGGGTTTAGCATGCAGATGTAACCCTCATTCTATATTTCTCCTTGTTCTTCTTTTAAATTTTTAACCTCTTACGTTTACCCAACTATTTTTTATAGGTACACATTACTTCTACAGCGTAAAGTTGACACTTTATATTTATATATATATATATTATCAAGGTAATTTTTAGAATTTTGTAAATTTCATGTACAATTATGATTACTACTTCACTAGTGATTCCTGAAATGCAGATAATTTAAAGTCAAACAATTATGAGTCTCCATTGTGTTAATAAGTTCAGATGACTGTGAAACCTTAATACATCTAAATTGTATAAATTATATGTATATAGAAATGTATGGAAATATTCCACTACATTTATAGGATTAGATAAAAAAATGGTTTGTCACTCACCATAAAAATTAACAATTATCTTGTGCTGAAGAAGCAACACAAGAGTGTTTTATTTACACTTAAAAAGATTTCTTTCTTGCAATTAGAGGAACCATATATTATACACTTTCTCGGGCTCAAAAGCATCACAACTCATCTCTACCGTCCATTCACGATAACACACAGTGGATGCTCATCATGCGTGCTGCTACTATACGCGCGATGTGTATAATACATTTTCCCATGATTAGAAAGATGACCGTTTTGTTTCCATACACGTACAAGCAAACCAATCCCAGATTCGAATTGCCGAGGAATTACCGATATTTTCAAACGCCACGGCGAGGAATCGCCCAGGCAATCTAGCCTTACGTGCGCGCTACCGGTTCTCCCGGTAACAGGTGGGCAAAAATGGAAATATCACATCAGCTCCTGAGCCTCATCGTACGGTAAGTACTGGCAATGCCGGTAAACGGGCGTTATATAAGAAACAGAGAAATTTTGGGCATTTTCTGCCACTTTTTGCGAAAAGCCTGGGTTAAGGTCTGGCCATGGCGGACCTGGTTCCAGAAGATCCAAATCCCTACCCTCATCTTAAGAAGTAAGCTTCTAATCCGCCATTGAAGCTCGCGATAGAGCAGGTTTCGAGTTCCCTCCTCGCCTCATTTGTGTGGAGTTTAAACTCAGAACTATATGCAATTTAGCTGTGGTTCAGACTTTAGTGACTGGTTGAAACTGGTATGAAGCTTTGCATTTGATCGCTTTCGCAGAGATTTTAGAGTTCTGTGTTTGCAGCTGTTAAAGCTTTGAAAGAATTCGAATCAAGTCTGGGCCTGTAATTTTGCCATTAACGCTCAGAAAATACGAGGTATCAAGCTGTTTTTACTCTTTTAATGGAGCCGTTTTGTAGATTGAAGTTTGAAAATGGATTTCAACCTTCAAAGAAATGTAAACGTTTATTTGAGCAAATTAAACTTCTTATCAGCCATTGACGCTCTGATTAAAGCCACTGTCACTGCACATTCACTCTTCTTTCTCTCTCTCCTATTTTTTCCTCTCTCTCTCTCGCTATCTCTAGAAGTTTGAAAGTTAATATGATTTTTTTACAAAAAATAAATTACGAAATAAAATTGAAGGTTTTATCTTTTTAAAAACTTCAAAGAAATATAAATTTTTATTTCAGCAAATTAAACTTCTTATCCGCAATTGACACACTGATTAAAGCCATTGATACTACACTTCTCTCTCTCTCTCTCTCTCTCTCTCTCGTATTTGTTTCTCTCTCTAAGCGTTTGAAAATTCTTATGAATCTTTATTCTACAATAAAGAAAATTGAAGGTTTTATCAGAGAGATGAGTTACAGCGTTTCTGAAACTACGTTTCTGGGAGAGCTTTGAAGGGCGTCGCGTGCCATTCAATTTTGAATGTCAATGACCAAAAAGGTCTCAATGTTTTATGTTAATTACGAGATCATTCCCTACCGTTACGAGCGCACAGAACGCCCTGTATTTTTGGGAAAATTGCATACCCTCCGTATCTCTCAGAATCATATTATTTATGATCAAAATCATATTATTTACGGGATTGTATACAATATAATACTATTTATTTTTTGTGCAAGGATGAATAATTATTTTTAACCATTCGATGTGAAATCCAATTGATGAAATTGGTCGTGATATTCGATAAATTTTATTTTGGACACTGCACTTAAATAATAATATATCTTTAATCACTCGATTTTAAATCTAACGGTCAATAACAACTGTGACATCCTTATATAATCAATAAATAGTTTCATTGTATGCATTTCTATTATTATTTCTTCTAGTTTTATATTTAATTTTGTAAATTTAAAATTTGGAATGAGGGAGAAATAGAGCATGTGTTTAGTGGTCTTATAAACTTTTTTCTTTTACAGTCCATGAAATTAATTTTAAATATAAAGGTTATTTTAGATATTATTGCGCAAATTGAGAGGTATTTTAGTCCTATTTATTTATAGAATTGGTTGGGAAAAGATGATGACGGTCGATGATCATTTATTTCCTGTAACTTATATTTTTTTTTCATCTTTTTATATTTTTTTATTCCAGCGTCGGATCGTTTTGTATATTAATGTAAATACAGGGAGGGTTTTCGTCATTTGCGCTGTTTTTTTTTTAATCCTTGTTTCCGGTAAATGTGAAAAAAGGATTCGTTAGAGAGAGAGAGGGGGAGAGAGGCGCAGTCTGCAGTTTCTACACAGAGAGAGGAGAGAGAAGTACACTGTGCTCTTTCTGGGGCAGTGAGGGAGGCTCACTGTATAATATTTAGACAGAGAGAGAGAGAGTAGGACACTGTCAGATATCTAGAGTGAGAGAGAGGCACACTGTCTGCTCTTTCTGACCATCACAATTATGTGAATATTTAAAGTGCCTGAAATAGCAGGCATACTTTATTATTAATATAAATTAAATAGCAGGCCTTTTGTCTTGTGAGGGATCAGGTGGCTTCCTTCGAGGTTCACTCTCTCCACTCTGTGAGTCTCTAGAACTAATGAAGTTTTTAAAAGTTCAGTTTTTTTATTGAAAGAACTTCCTTTTCTTGTTTTTTGCTTACTCTTTTTTAGAGCCTGGAGATCTCAAAAAATGGCACTTTGATTTAAAAAGAACTTCAATTGATTGTTTTTGCCTATTCTTTGTGAGTCTGAAGATATCAAGGCTCCAAAACAAAGAAAAAATTGAAAGAAGATGATTTAATTTATGGTAAAGCTTCACTTTGTGCTTTACGCTCTGCTTCTACTTTTTAACTCTTCAAATTGTTAAAGATCATGAATACTTTGGAAGTTTTTTGTTGGGTTTCGGTCGAAATCTTCTGTTTTGCTTCCATTTTCCACTGAGTTTCTGGATCTTAGAAAAGAATAAGAGGAAACATTTGAATTTCTAGTTATCGGGTTTGCATATGGTCACAGTTTTCTCTGGTTGCAATGTCTTCCATTTCATGGTATTGCAATTAACTATTTTCTTTTCCTCTTCTTCTTTTTTTTTTTTTGACATTTTACAGCTTAGATCTGGTAAGAAATCTGTTGAAAATGTTGACTTGCATTGCTTGTTCAAAACATTTTGATGGCTCTTTGCGTGATGCTGAAGAAGATGAGGCCGCAACCCCCAATACTAAAGAAGCAGTCAAAACTCTTACAGCTCAGGTTTTTTCAGTCTCCCTCCGTTTCTGCTATTTAGTTTAGTGGAAGCTACAGGCATCCTTTTGCATGGTTTTATTGTGAATCTTTTTCTTGTTGTGAATCTTCAATGTTAGTATAAGAATTATGTGATTTGGTGGATGAAGTCTTGTTTTTATTTTTATCTACTAAATTTAGGTCAAAATGACATTGAAAATGGATAAGGAATAATTTTCTAAGATCTCTCCTACTTTTTTTTTTTTGGTGGGGGGGTGTGTTTTGGTTACCAAAGTAATTTTTTTTGTAATTCCACAATCCCACAGAAAAAGTTTTGGAGCTCACAAAGTTGATCTTTTACATTTGTTTTAAAATTCTCAGGCATTAATCTGGAAGATCTCTATGCCATATAATTTCCTTCAGTTCAAAATATTGAAGCTTTTTAAAATTTTGAAGGAGAAATTTTTGAAATTTTCATAGTTTATTGTGATGATTCTCACTGTAAGCTCTCCTGCTTAATGAAAGTTGAAACATACTTAACATTAGTATTTCACTTCACTTCAATTTTAATGTTACAAATTTAATCCAATTTTCTTTATCATTTTCTAAAAGGGCACTTCCAGGAGTCGCTCCTCCTAGTACCAATCTTACCCAAGCAAGCGCTTAATCTTGGAGTTATAATCGAATCAAATTTTCTAGATTCCATATCTTGACTTTTTCCATCACATTTTGGCAGATTAAGTGGTGAAATAGCACCTAAGCTAATCGGTTGTATAGCTAGGCCTTTTTATGCAATTGAAATTAATGTTTTAACTTGGGTTCGTACCCTTACACGAATGGTTAATCAAATTCCATATTCTGTAGCTAGGGTTTTTAAGTACAGGACGGCCTTTATGGTAACAACTAGCCCCATGCTTTTTCTGATCTAATTAATGCACTTGTTAAAGTCTTGTCTAACCTTGTACCTTTCCCAAGAAAAAAAGAAAAATATAGATAAAAGGAAAATATAGATGAATGAATGATAAACTTTAATTATATGTTATTCTTTTCATACCTGCTTTAAACTTCACCCCCGAATGCAAGCATGTTAACATTTTTATCTTTTGATTTGATACAAAACTTAAGCATTTGCCTTGACTAAATATTGTAAAAATTCACCTGATCTCTTGTTTCTCCATAGGTACAAAATGATAGCGTTATTATGGATCAAATGGTTGGAATGTGTCTCACAAATCTTCCTTGAAACCAATTCTGAGTATTTCTCCCTTCTGTTCTGCTTATTTGAAAATGGGAAGGTATTCTATAATCGACAGACTCTGGAAAAGTACAATTCTTTGTGTGCTACAGAAAAAGCATAGCCCATTGGGGTGTCCAGTGAAATGGATGGACATGAGGAATCACCATTTGGGTCCTGTCCTTTTATCATTTAATAGATGGAAATGACCACGATGTACTATGGGTTTCCATAGTCTATAGGATTATAATATATTTTTATTTTTGCTTTTTTATTAGAAAGGTTAACTTTATGTTTGTATTTTCCCTCTTAAAACAGTTAAGATCTCTGCACGATTGTTCTTCTTGCATGATTGTTCTTCTTCTTCATCTGAATTGTAAGAATTCTCAGTTAACATAATTCTTCGACAGATCAAGGACATGGCATTGAAGGTTTCTGGGGCATACAGGCACTGTAAACCTTGCAGCACTTCTAGTGGCTATGGAAAGGGGCACCATCACTATGTTGATTCAGATATTGGGTCAGAAGGTTTTCGCTATGGCTATCACAGAACCGGAAGCTCAAGCTCCACACCGAGGTTGGGAAAAGAGCATAGTTTATTTGTTGATTCTAGGATTAAAGGGATTTCTAGTGGAGAAGTAACACCAAGGGTCGACTCCATGGGCATGTCGAGGCAAGAGGTGCTGTTCATGGAGGAAGAGGAACCCAAAGAATGGGTTGCTCAAGTTGAACCAGGGGTGCTCATCACCTTCATATCATTGCCTCAGGGTGGCAATGATCTCAAGCGCATTCGCTTTAGGTAAATTTTCTGCATGATTTTGAGCTTCTACCCAAATTCAGGTGGTAGTATTCTAATCTATGATGCATGGATTCTTAGAAAATATGTGCCATGTTAACTGTTGGATACTTCAAAAATATATGTAGAATTTCAGAAAAAGATCCATTTCTCAAAAAAAAAAGATCCATATAGACAGCTGTATCCATGCATCACGGTTTTCTTTCATATTTTGGTTTCTTAACAACCTGATATTTGCAGAAATTGGTCAAATCTATAACTGCAACCTGTCAGTCGGTGGAATTTCATTATTTTTCATTTTCTTTTTGAAACAAATGGTATGGGATTCAGACATGGTTTAGAAGAGTTGGATTCAATTTCCCTTTGTCAAGACTTCTGTATCTAATATTTTTTTCTATGCAAATTCAGTTGGAGCTCACAATTTGAAATTTTAGTTCTGGCCTCTGGGCAAAACTTGTTGCCAAACTGAAATTCTGGACCTTGGTTTCAAATTCCTTATTTGACTACACTTCAAAACCCCATTGCATGTTTGATCGTTGAGTTTATGTTGACGATTTTTCCCCTTTTCATTTGTTTGAAATTAAAAATTCTCAAGAATTGGCTTTTGAATGACGATCAAAAAGCTTTTGAATGATGATCAAAACTGGTGCCTATGTGAAGCAAGCATATTAAAACAAGATACTAAAAAATTGGAGGTACTATCTATTCATCCTACTTTTTTTTGGTGAATGATTCATCGGTACTTAAACCTTCTCTTCCTCTCTCCTGCCTGGCATTCAGCCGCGAAATGTTCAACAAATGGCAAGCCCAGAGGTGGTGGGCAGAGAACTTTGACAAGGTGATGGAGCTTTACAATGTCCATAAATTCAATCGCCAGACTGTCCCCCTGCCCACTCCCCCCAGGTCGGAAGATGAGGTATGCTCTACTCCCTTCTATGTGCAAAACCTGTAGGCGATTTCCAGGAGCAACCGGGCCTGTTATGCTCCAATTTGCTCAAGGACTTTCCTATTACCTATTTCTGATGTTATTTTATTTAGTTGAGTAAAGAAGAGGCAATGGCTAAAATTACTTATTAAGTTCGAACAACCCGCTATTTGTCAATATTCAGCTGTTAAAATAAGAATCACAACAAAAAAATATTTGTATTCGGGCTACTTAACTAAGATCCGTGAACCCCCTTTTTTTAGTTTAAAGATGTCATGTAAACTTTGAATTTATTGGACCTAGATGTAGACCATTTTCAACGGGAAACTGTGCCATACACCTATCTTTTATGTTTTTCAGTACTCCAAATGGGCATCCACTATCCATTTGCAACAACTGGTGGTGGAGGTTAACTGTAGTACTGTAGCACCAACTAGGGCATTCACCCAACTGCAATTAATCTGCACCATCCATCATGGGAAATGGATTGTAGATACTCCTTTTCCTTTGGATTACTGGATATGATGCCCATTAGAGCCATACACTTCTCTTCAATTGTCTATGTAGAGCCATACACTTCTTTTCAATTGTCTATGTATCATATATTCATGCTGTATTGGATTATTCAACCAATAAAAGCAGAATCTAAACATGACATTCGCATGTATGCGACATATCCCTGGTATATACTTACTATAAGGAAAATATCTTCCTTTGTTTTGGAATCTATGCATCTCACATACCACATGCCACATAGTAATCACAACAAGATTGTGGGGATGCAGAGTTCAAAAATGGAGTCAGCTGAGGATAGCCCTGTTACCCCTCCTCTAAATGGTGAACGATTACCTCGAAACTTCCAACGGCCTGGAGGGGGCTTGATGAGTTATTCATCATCCGACTCCATGGAGCATCATCATCATGCATCATGCCATGCTCGGCAATATGATTGTGGGCTTGCCTCCACCCCAAATCTATCAGGCATTAGCGCAAAGACAGAGAGAAGTTCATCCATGGATGCCTCACGAACAAGCTCATCAAGGGATGCAGATAGGTCAGATGAGGTCTCAGTCTCGGCGAGCAATGTGAGTGATCAAGAGATGGAATGGGTAGAGCAAGATGAGCCCGGTGTGTACATCACCATCCGATCATTACCTGGCGGGGGGCGCGAGCTAAGGCGTGTTAGATTCAGGTAATTATTTGGTCCAATTATTCACATATGCATGCATGTGCAATAAGTCATTCATGAGTTCCTATTTTTAGTGTGAGCTCTCTATGCATACATTTACCAAAGGAGTATACCATGCCTCGTGAATTTACGGGATATGGTTCACTAAGGAGCACTGACCATCTGTTTTCTTTGATGAATGGTGGAGATCAATTGCAATTTCGGATAATGGGCATTGACCCAAGTACATTTATTCTCGACTGATCATCACTGGGAACTGGTGGTGGAGGCCCAGGTGTACCATTGTCTTATAACAGCCGTAGCGTATAACATTCTAAGAAGCAAACTCTGTTAGCATCCTGCCATTTTTGGGTATCATATTTTGTTTTGTGCAATTTATTTTTGGTTTATGCAATTTTGGTCTGTTTGCTAAAACAATGATGGAAACATCCACAAAAATAGGGATGTTTGTTGTGCTGACATCAATCCTTGAACACATTTCATGGTCCATTGAGGCTGATGTCAATGTAATGAACTACCATGCTTTTGTGGAAATTTCTTCTTTACCATTGACAAATGACAAAATTTACCCATGCCAAAAGAGATTTTTCAATATATAGAGAGAGTATTTTCCATCCAAACATTTTTAAGAAAATTGAAATTATGTTAACTCCATTTCTGTGTGCTGGTGCTCCTGTTCATCATGAGACATATTGATTTAGTTCCTTGAAAATTCTTGAGTTTTACCTATGGTTGTTAGAACTACTAAATATTTATATTGAGTATAATAGAACCGGCATACTTGATGTAATGTATAAATAAATACACGTGTATTGTTTTTCGATACTACCAAAATTAGATTTAGTAATCTGCACAAACATTTTTGAAGTCAAAATTCTCTCATATTTTAGGAGTATAATGAAAACTATTTCACAAAATGTCGAGAATGGACCACTGTGCCCTAGTTGAAGGTCATGGTTTCCATTCTCATGCATTCAAAAAATCAAACTATTTCCAAAAACGGGTAGGGGCCTGTAATCCCCAGTAATCTACCCAAAAGAAATTATTCAACAAAATGTAGACGAGTGGTGTTTTCTAAAAAGGATAAAATGAATTTCTTTTTAATTTATCCAATTGTAATGGATGATATACAGCCGAGAAAGGTTTGGAGAGATGCATGCAAGGCTTTGGTGGGAGGAGAACAGGACCAGGATACACGAGCAATACTTGTAAAACTCCAAAAATTCATGGGAGATTTCTTCCCTTCCTTTCTGTGAATTCTCTCTCTGACCCCACTCTTTTGTGTAATATCTCTTAGGTGGGGTCTTGGTTTCTCTTGGGTTGTGCTTCCTCTCTCTAGGATCTCTTCAAAATCGGTTGGTGAAGGGGAAAAAGGGGGCAAAAAAAAAATGGGGTGACCACTTTTAAGGTCTGGTGTGGGGTTATTATGGTCATTTATCTCTTGCCAATAGTGCAAGGGTGTGGGCATTATGGCCATTTAATGGTTGTGCAAATTTTCCCTCTCTCTTTCTTTTTCTTTTTTGCTATTGTGATTTGGTGAAAGGGGATGTGTGGTTATTCTGGAAATTATTTATTTTGGTGATTGGTGTGGGGTATAGTTATGTGAATGGTTTCAAAATCCCATTGAGAAGTCTCTCTCTCTCAGCACTTGTAGTTGTGTTAATGGTTTCAAATTTTCTTTAACAGGTCTTTAACTCTCTCTCACATTCTGTCCCCCCACTATAGCTATGTGAATGTTTTTGAATTTGCTTTGAAGGTTCTCTCTCTCCGAGAATTTTTTTGTGGAACTCTGTGTCTACTAAAAAATACACTCTTCAACCGTCCATTTTGAAATTTAAAGGACAATAATGATATTGATCTCCATGTACAAAAGATAAAGGGAAAAGTTTATATAGAGCAGAGGTTCTAAACAATCAAATTTGAGCCTATATTTAAAATTTCACTAGATGTTTTGATACCCAAATATCTTCAAATTGATCTTGTCATCAAGATGCATGGACATGAGAAAAATATAGATTTCAAGTTTTGGAAATAGTATATTTTGTAACGTGTTTTTGGACCGTCAATTTTCAAGTTGTTTTAGATCTGTCAATCTACACTATTTTTGAACCTTTAAACTTTATAAATTAATATGAAAATATATTTAAAAGCTTTCACAAAGATTTTCAATATTGAAATCATGTTTTTTGATACTATTTGAAGATAGGCTTTAATTTGATTATTTAGAACCTAGGCTTTATACAAATCGCACCCAAAGATAAATGGTCTTGTAGAAAAATTGAGGCCTATATAAGGTGTCCACCTTATAATATACCAAGGAAGCTGTTACTTCAAATTTTGTATTCAAAACTTTACAATGACTCGAAAATCTATGTTCAACTCTAATTATGAAATTGAAAATTTTAAAAATAGTGCAAATCAAGTATATTTATAAACACATGAAAATGGACGGTCCAAGTAATTTGCACGAGATGTACCACTTTAAGTATTTGATGTTCTTTTTTTTATATAATCACAAGGTTGAGATGATCAATTGGAAGGTTTTCTAATTTGAAACTCTTTTATGCGATTTTTAAAATGCACCTCACTTATATAATACAAGGTTTTATGTAAACTCTGCCTTTTCTTTAATAAATAACTTCTAAGAAAGTTGTCACTGCCCACCATCACCAATAGAAGTTAAAAAAAGGATAACTCACTGCCCACCATTGACATCACATACCGCTTGAAGTGGCCCACTGCATTGACATCACATGGAAGGCCAAATTCAATTATAAGTTGTACTTAAAAGATTCTATTGGAGGTAGATGAATATCGATTTGTGTATGGTGCACTCCCTTTGTTTTGTGGCTTGTTGGTCCAATCATGTGATGCCAAGAGCATAGAGGGTCATGGATTTTGAATCTTCAAGTTTGTCTCGCATGCTAAGTATGCTAATCAACGAAACAAACAAGTTACGGAATATCATTATAAAAAATACTGGTTAAAATCCCGTAAGAAATAATTAAGCTACCAAATAAATAAAAATAAAGAACTTATTGATTGAGGGGTTCAAAGTTCAAACACCTTGCAAAATCATTGAGTTACAAAAAAAAATGAAAGACAAAAAAAAGAAGAGGAAAATCTATCACTACTAAGGGATCAAAATTGAAAATTATCATCCCAATTAACGGTTAATTTTTAGGGAAAATTACAAAGACAAACCCTCTGGACAATCAAACCCCAACCAAGCTTTTTTTAGCAACTTTTACATGAATTCAACTTTCGTAGCAATGCCTCCAAGTCAAAAAAGTCATATGTTTTTGATAAAAATGCCCATAGTGCCGGACCGTATGCCCAAAGTGTCGGACCGTACTTATTTTATATCAGACCACATGCTTTTTAGAAACCCAAAGTGCCGGACCGCCCCTATTTTGTGCTAAACTTCATGCTTTCCAAAGAGTATTTTGGTCTTCATTTTACCTTTTCTTTTACTTGGGGCATATTTTCTAGAAAAGTTAAATTTAAGGTAAAAATTGTTTAAAAATTTTGTCGGGGGAAGTTGTCTAGAAAGTATGATTTTTGGGGAGTTTTGTAATTTTTCCTAATTTTTAAGCTTTTATTTCACTATGACAAAGATACCTATGAATACCCAAAATGCCGTTGTTTAGGGTAGTGAACATAAATAAGTAGGGTTATTTTGGTACTTGAAAGTATTTTGTCGTTTGATTGGGGTCTTTTAGATGAATTGAATTATTGAGTTGCCCTTGGTTAGGGCGGAGAGTATGTTCCGATCCACTAGGATCCATATTCCGATCCAAAAAGTATATATAGGACTTGGATCTGATTGGATCTAGAATACTAGGATCCAGATCTAGATCCGGACACAATCGAATCTAAAAACTATTTATATATTACTTTATATATATATAATAATATAAAATATAATACAAAAAAAAAGTACTATGTAAACATATATATATATATATATATATATATATATATATATATATGTGTGTGTGTGTAGTAGTAAATATACACAC